TTCTGGCCCAGGACATCCGCAATGATGCCCACAATGTCCTCCTCGCCCTCATTGTGCAGGATCAACAACGCCGGTCGGGCGCCACTCGGAATCTCTTGCACATCAATGACGGCACCTTCCTTGAGACGGGCGCCGGTCACGCCCTCGGCGGTCTGCACCATGGTGGCCATGGAAGACTAAGGTTGGGTGGTGGTGGTGGTGGTGTTCTTCTTCTTTTCCTGTCTGTTAGCCGTACGTGTTGAAGCCGTTGATGCGATGCTGGATCTCGGCGAGGATGCGACGGGCGGTATACAACTGACAAACACCAACAACCGTCTCTACCATCTCCGAAACGTCGACGAGGATGAGGCGGTGGGGCTGTGTCTGGAGAAATACAAGCGTCTCAGAGTGAGCGCTGTACATTCATCCGTGGGGTGGTGGGATGCAGGGCTGCGTCTTGATTTAATCGCAATGCGTGTGAGGTTTGGAGATGGTGAGATAGCACCATGTCCCAAGCAGATGGAAGCACCAAGCTTCCGTAAAACCCGCGCGTTTGTTCGCTCTAAAGCCGTCCTATGGCTGGACGGTGAATATGCCGTTGGAAAGGGCACTAAGTCGGGGCTGTAGGATAGTGTACGGACCAGGGCGGGCACCGTGGCACGCTCGCCGATAGCTGGGGTTAGAATTTATCCGTCGGCTGGCCATACGGTCGCTAAGGTCCCTAATTTCGCACCAATCACTTGATTTGCCATCGCCCAATGTATTCTGGCGCCAAGTATACCACGACCATAGCCATCCTTTGAGGGGATGCTCTGCTGACGTTGTTGTGTGGGGATTGGTGGAGAATGGGGGGGTAGCGTGTCGTAGTGACACCCTGGGGCCTGAGGCGACATTTGAATCCCATCCCTATGTTTGAGGCGTCGAGTGCCGAGATGCAACACCACACAAATACGATCTTGGTATACGGATAGGCGTGTATCGTTACTGCCCATAGGTGCATCGCTGCTGAGAGGCGTGTGTCTAGATTTGCGCGAGGCTACACCCGCACCACAACGGAGGCGTCGTATCGCCTTTCATCAGCCCTATCGGCTTTGCCATTGAGCGGCATGCCGCGTTGGGCAGAATTCGAATCATGAGTAGCCGGTGGGATTCAGTGGGCGAATCCAGCCCGCCTTTCTGAAAGAGCTGGAAAGACATGACAAATCCGTCTGCACAACGATATCTTGACGGCCTTTCCGAATGACCATTACCAACATCGACACGATTTCCATCATCCTCGGCTCAGCGGTTGGCTGTAAAGAAGAGGCACGTAATATCTCAGTGATTGAGCCAACATCGAGTTGGCTGCTCGTTGAGCCTCCTCCGTTTCATCATCTTCCACTTTAACCGTTAACCCTGCGGCGCGGACAACAAGATTTCACAACCTTGGGTCATCAATGTCGGTTTGAGATTTTCCGAGACCAACTGTAGTGTAACGTCGGTCCACTTGAAGATGGCGTAAGTATCGTGGGTACCATTGAGTTAGCTCATCGAGCCCACTCTAGGGCCATCGAGACCATCCGCGCTGCATCAACAGAATTGTTGAGGAATTGGTTCTCGGGCACTGTATTCCTGTTCACAATAATATTCGGTTGTTGTTCGATCAGCTACAGATTTTAGGGGGGGGCGCAAACCCCATTCCTTGGTCTCCCAGACGGCTAAAGTACTGTGTCGGATATAGACGATATTAGGCCAACATCAATATGACGCAGGTTGAAACGCCAGGAACTATTTGATCATCTGTACTGCAGGTCTTCGGCCAAGAGATGGTCTTTCTTCCGTGTCCAACACTCTCCATTGCTTCGAAGCTTCCAGACATCTCGTATAGCTCCACCCTTTGACCACAGATCTGGCAACTTGCAGCTTGTCTCGACCGGAACATGGAAATGACGGTATAGGAAAGGCTGCACCTATTTCGTCTCTACTCGAACGATTACACTACAAGGCCTTTGCGACAACACACTCTGTAGGCCATCACACCTCCCGTCTTCCGCTTTCGAATGCTTTTCTTCGCCAATCTCAGCTTACCAGTTCAGATTTAAGTCCACCGTCGACGTACTTCCTATGACGAACAAGTCATCCTTCGTATCTCAAGAGTCTTCCCTGGTCAGTTTCCTCGGGAGCTGATACGCAATCTATCAACGGGAAAGCACGCCAGTAGTCCCGAAGATACCATCATCAAAAGTAGGACACTGTAGCTCTGAAAGGCGGCTATAATATACCACACCCTTGGTGGATACGAATGGTGAAAAGTGGCAAGCGTACCAGGGAAACCTGTAACCAACGTTCGAAAGGACACTCTGTCTATGGTGTCCGCTTTCGTGACTATCTTTTGAATCACGCATTGTAAAGACAGCTGCTACATCCCTACCAACACGGTCAGAGATCTTGGCGTTTTCCTTCGTCATGTTATACTACTGATTCGGATCCTCGATAACCCACGACGCGCGGGCTTGTCTGCATGGCGATGCTTGCCAAAGACCGCTACTGTATGGAAGTATACCTGGTCCAAAATGTACGAGCCTTTCTTCAAATCCTAGAAGCCTACAACGCTACGTGCAGAGGATTGGAGGCCAATTTCTTTCAAGGATTAGAGGTGAAATGAGAAGAACTTACATGCTAGTCGCCGTGGTGTATGCTAGGAGCTTTACTAACGACGATATCATAAAGTACTTGATATGCTCTAGCCAGCCCATTCATCTGGGATATACAGTATCTGCAGACAAAGTTAGCATCGTGTAGATTGGTAGAATGCATCCCCAGAAGTCGAACCAGTCATTGTACGCTGATTACGCAAGAAAACAAACCTACTAATCAGATCTAGCAGTTTAGTCGTGATAAAAGCTGTTACTAGTCTTAAGTGTAAAGAACTGGCTTACCCACTAACCCTTTCTTTCTCTGGTGCACAATAACTTTCAAAGGGCGAATCGTCTTAGTCAGCTCCTTACATTGGTGGCTGCTAGTCCTGCAAGTTCCCAGCACTTATCGTAGCCATCAAATGGTACGTTCTCATGCTGAAATCTCTCCGCAGCGTCTCGAGATGATGTACCGAGGCCATCGGAAGATTCAGATCGAGTAGGTATGATTCAATACCCGAACAGCGACGAGACATTCGACACCACTTGGGATATACTAGCGAAATATGTGTAAGCAGGATATTTTTGCACATGATTCTATGTCTCTAACCATCACCCATATTCCTCTGACCGCTTCATTGTAGATGTCAAGGATAGAGGAACAACATATTGCAGGTCAATGTTTCCACCGAACAAAACTAGACAAAATTTGCATGTAAAGATTCAGGGGAGGGAAGCGCAAGAGGGCGTAGTTAAATGGGAAGTAGATACTGGTACAGGTTCAGTCCAGGAATAATGTATAGATTTGCGAGATGCCCCTAGTGTCTTACTGAGGTGTGATCAGATGCTTCCAGTTTCTACATTGGCTTGGATTTGCAAGACTAACCACAGCGCTCACGTGAGAATTCGTATGAATATAAGCTCTGACATGAGAGGTGATACTTGGTTTTAAAGCCAATCTTATGCATAGATTTGCAATGCATTAACGCGAGGAGACGATAAGAAAGCTGCACTACGCTCAAACGTCCACAAAGATATCTACTCTTCTCTATGCTGTTACTAAAATGATGTCTATTAAAGAAATGCATTCAGCATCAGTGCCAAACGGCTTTCATAGTGCGAGTATCCGTGAATATAGAGAACGGTGATTGAAATGGTAGCGGCGAATGGGAAATATGCATTAGTGATACCTTAGCCTTGGCATTCTGACCTCATCCAAAACTTCGGGTGCGGCGAATAGCGGAGGTGCTCGCCATCATCGCAAAACAACCATCACCACAACAACACGCCAATAAAAATGTTTGCGAGACGCGCAATTCCTTCGGTAGGTAGCATTCTGAATGCAGCTTCGCAGACTTGCATGTACCTAACAATTCCCAGGCCTTCCATGCCGCCACCCGCGCAAGCGCACCTCGCTTTACCCCAGCCACACGCTTCCTCACGCCGTTCCAAGTACGATTGCTGTCCGATGAAGTTCGCTCCGCGATCGACCGGGCCGTGGCATCATCGCCTGTTGTTCTGTTCATGAAGGGAACACCAGAGACACCTCAATGCGGGTTCTCAAGAGCCAGCATCCAGATCCTGGGTATGCAGGGCGTAGATCCGGACAAGTTCACGGCCTTCAACGTACTGGAAGACCAAGAGCTAAGACAAGGTACGCTACTTGCATGAAGCATGTCCTTGAAGGCCGCAATCCGTTGCAGCTCGAGGCTCTGCTCGAGTTGGTGCGCTGGAATCTACCTGCTGACAAATACACCAGGTATCAAAGAATACTCAGAGTGGCCGACCATACCGCAACTCTATGTCGACAAGGAGTTTGTTGGCGGTTGCGACATCCTCATGACGATGCACCAGGACGGTTCGCTTGCGAAGATGCTCGAGGAGAAGGGTGTGGTTGTTCCTGCTGAGGGCCAGGCACCTTGAGCACTGTGTCTCGGATGATAGAGGAGGCTGCCGAGTATACGCGCTGTATAATACCATGTTGCTTTTCTTTGGTTGCGAGCGTCAACCAGTGGGGCTGGCTTCCATCTATGTAACAACGATAAATGTACATGTAATGAACAGCAAAGTGAACCGCGTGTGTGCTGGTTTTTATGCAACCATGGCAATACTTGCATCCGTGAGCATTTATCCTGGACTCTTTACTAGATTCATTAATCTTCTCTGCATACGTTTAGTGCTGTCGTTACCACGACAAACCGTCGGTTCCTCCAAGCATACCAATCCCTTTACCCCTCCGACCCCACATGCCCTTGTGACGTGTCAGACTTTGCACCGCCAAAAAGTTCCCTGTTCGGCACCAATTATGGCCCCAACCTGCCGGCGCATGCCGTGGGCAATTTTTATACATAGGATATATTGGTCATAACGCTAGAATTCTCCAGAAGTCTGTATTTCCGCTTGACGGTCTCGGTGGCGCAATGGTAGCGCGTTGGACTTCTACTAACTGGGTTCTTCTTCCAATTCGGTTAATCCAAAGGCTGCGGGTTCGAGCCCCGCCCGAGATGCTTTTTGTTCTACTTGCCTTTATTTTTGGTATTCGTGGTGGGCTAGGATGAATATCTAGTTGATCGGTGAATGGGAAGGGGCGCTGGGTTTTTGCTGGGGCGAGAATGAGGAACATTGCAATCGATGCCATAGATGATAGCCAAGGAAGACGTGTAAGGAATAATAGCTTGAGTATGTGCATACTGCTGGGTAGAAATTATAGAGTCTGGGGTATCTAGAATATACGAGATTGCTATGTGGTCAATCGCGACTCTTATCCTCTCGTTGCTTTGCTGCTTCTCTCTCCTTAGACCCTTTCTTTCACAACACTACACCATTCCCTCAATCAGCCCTCGCAGATGAGGTCAAAGTCTGGGAAGTCCGGATCCGGTCCGATGTTTGTGCTTGGGACAGCACTGTTAAAATCCTTGACTTGGGCATTCTTCTGCGCATCGTTGCATTTATCTTGAAGGATTGTTAGCGATCGCTCTAGGTCTCTCGTCTTTCTTTCTTCTTTCCTCTCTTCCTATTAGACAGGGAACATGGGTAAAAGACTCACTCTTCTGTTCATCACAGTCATTCACACTTAATCCATCATTCTGCCTTTTTCTATTATCATTTCCATTCCTATCCCCATCCCCGTTGTTGTTATTGTCGCTGTCCTTGCCATCTCCGCCCCCACCACCCCCACCACCTCCATTTCCATTTGCAGCATCACTACACCCCTTAAACTGCACGTCACAGCTCCTCTGTGCTGCTGTATCAAAGTCGGTAAACGTATCCCCCTCAACCTCAAACGGCCTCTTTTCATCTCCCGAATTCGATATGGGCGGTGCTGCCGCTCCGCCTAGATTATCCTCGAAAGTCTGCAGATTGGATAGTTGGCGCAGAAAAAGCGTGTGCTTGGGTACGAGTGAGATGGCATAGTCGGTGGAGATGAGTGCCGGTTGCGGGGATGCGTGCGAGAGGGCGGGAAGAGCGAGGTGTAGGAGTGTGAGGAGGCTTGTTGGGAGTAACATTTTTTTTTCGCGCTGATTGTGGTTGAAGTATGAGGTTGGCTATAGATAGGGTACCGTCGTCGGTTCTGGTGATGTTTCCCGTGGGTGTAGAAAGAAGGTCGGTGAATATTGTCGTCTTTTTGGGTAACCAGCGAGCAGCGCGATCAAGCTTCTTTCTATATCGTGATATCGACTGTAACCAAGAGAAGAACAACAAGAACAAGGGGACGACACTCGATCGTTTCTCTCTTTTCCACAAAACAATCGAAATCCGCAGAAATCGTGAAAAAAAGAATCAAAAGTTAAACATGTGCGCGCAGAGCGAAACAACAGAGCTGCAGATAAGTAACATGGCCTGAAGGAAGCGCGCACATTACAAGTTTTGACGCCGTGTGTGTATGCCCCCGGTCGCAGATAAGCACCTGGTTTGTGAAGGGGGGGTGTTCGTTGTCGCTGCTGCCGCACAGCTGTGACGATGCTGAAACGCGGCCGACCAGGCCCCTTGACATGTCAGTGTCGCGACACTACCAAGTTGGAATAAGAACAGGACCATGTGGAATTTGTTCAAGATGCGAGTTGCATGAACGCTTTGACGACATTCTACCAGCAACTTATGTCTGCGCATGACACTTATTCACGGTAAGGAGGCAAAAAGGAAGTGGAATACTTTTAGAGACAAAGGTATGAGTATATATAATTGCAATTTCGCTATGACTGCAGACTATTTTGGTGAGGGGTATGAGCTATGCTAAAGCGAACAAATACATTAGCAGAAGCAGAGAATAAGAAGAAAAAGACATAAAACGCGCACGCTGCCATTACAAAACATGCCTTGAATCAAGGTCTCGAAGAGAAGGAAAAACAACAAAGCCACGTCGCACAAATGCGAACTCACGACGCTGACATGCCATGAAAGAAGCCAGAGAGAAGGGGGGGGGGGGGGGGGAAAAAAACAAGTACTTGAGCCGAGAAAACAGAAAGAGAAAGAGAGAGAGAGAGTGTGTGTGGTGTTGACATCTTTCCATGGTAAACATTTTTGTGTGTGTTAGTATATATCCTAATCTGTTCCCTCCAACAACGATGATGGTCATGACTACACTCCTGAGCCAAAGTGAACCTATTCTTATATCTGATAGCGCACAAAGAAATCGTTTTCCTCGGAAGGAGGTAAAATAGTAATTAGAGCCGCCACGGGATTGTATGTACAAGCTCTTCCTCGTCTTCACCACTGCCACCATCACCGCTCAGCATGGCCTCCAGCTCGGATAAACCCGGCAAATAGTCGTTGGTATCGTAACGGACCTTGGCAGGTCTATGTACTTTCTTGGGGCTGCGCTTCGCCTAGAAGTTGGCAGCCGCGTTGGGGCGTCCACCGGGGTTGTGGTACTGCTCGAGGTTCGACTGGAAGGGAGAAGAGCCGGGTCCGTTCTGGGGCTTGTCGCCGAGAGCCGATCCGGTTCCGGCCATGAGGTCATCGTCGTCCTCGTGCACGCGTGCTTGACGCTTCTTCATGCGCCAGAAGACAAGAGCGATACCACCGAGGAGTAGGGCTCCTCCTACACCACCGACAACGCCGCCGATAACCTTCTTGTTGGACTCGCTCAGGCCGCCGTCATCACTGCTGCTGTCGCCTTGCTGTTCTGTGGGCGCCTCGGTGTAGGTGGTCTGTCCGGTGGTGGCGACGGAAGTGCTGGTACCAGTAGAGGTTTGGGTGATTTGCTGGCCAGCACTCTCAGTCACGATGGTAGTGGTGAATTCGCGCAGGGTGGTGGAAAGCAGATCAGAAGTCCTTACGACAGGTGTTGTTCGAGCAGAAGAACTGGCGTCGGTAGTAGTCGCGGGCGCATCGCCTCCATTTCCAGATGTGCCTGCGGTTGCAGAGGGTGAATCATTGTTACTGCTGCTGTTGTCGTCGTCGTTGTTATTGTTGTTGTTGTTGTTGTTGCCGCCGTTGGTGGTGGGTGTTGCTGCGGGTGTTGTGTTTGCGGGAGGGTTGGATGTGGGTGCGTTTTGAGTCGTGGATGGGTTGTTGGCGGTAGTAGGGTCTGGCTCCGGTGTTGCAGATGTCGCAGGAGGCGGCGACGATGCTGGGGGCGCCTCTGAAGTCTCTGGTGCAGGCGCAGCCGATGAAGGAGCGGGAGCGGCGGATGGTGTAGAGGCGCCGGTGCCTTCGGCGTCTTGTCGCTTGCCGTGGTGCAGGTACTGGTTTATTCCGTCGATGTGAATGTCCTCAAGGGTAAAGGCCGACGAGACAGCAGCCAGGGCGAAGACGGCGCCGGAAAACCACGTCTTTGGTAGCATGTTTGGTGGTATGCAGATCGAAGACGGGAGCGGGCGGATGGGGGTGGTGGGCGGTCTTAGTCTTTGAGCAGTCGAGGCTGACGCGTCGCACAAAAAGCGGTTGACTTGTATTAAAGGGGGGTAATTGGGTGAATAGCAAATATGGTGATTGTAGTAGCGTGAATGGGCCAGGTGGATAAACGAGGGGCGGGAGTATTAGAAACAAAAGGAGATGGAGCGAGTGTTGTCCGGATGACCGTGTGCGTGTGTGTGCTTGCTGAGTGATTAGTGTTAGGGTACGATGAGAAGTGGAGAGAGCGTGGCATCGCGTCCCTGTGAGGGCGGCCAATTTTAGAGCTGCAGCGCCCCCAGCCCTGACACACGAATCGACCCGGACCAGACCCGACCCTGCATTTCCCTAGCCATCTGGGCAAAAAGAAGCCTCACCAGCCTGAAAATTTGCTGGCCCCAACGGAAAACAAAGGCTGTTTTCATTTGCGCATGCAGCCAGCCGCCAGTCAGCCTCTCCTTGACCATTTGACCCTCCAACTCTCCTGACCAGAGCACTGTGTCTTGTCCACTATCTATTGTCTATTGTCCATTGTCCAGCCTCTCTCGCTGTTGCTTGACGCGCCTCACGTGCTTGGAATGCGGCAAAAGTCCCATTCGTCAATTTTTCTCGACCTTCTATTTCCGTCCGCAGCCGCGCACTGATTGGCCCACCGGCGAAACAGGCCTGCCTGAAGACATACCCTCCGTCTCGTCCTGCGTCATCTTGCCCGTCTGCAACGTTGGAATTCCTGCAGGCCCTTGTATGAGTTTTGAAGATCACTTGTTCCACTTGCCAATAAACATCGCTTCATTTGTCGTCACTGGCAGAAAACCCGACAACGACAACGAACATGTTGGCTACCGCCATGTCACACAGCAGCTTGCCGCTGACAACCAACGAAGCGCTCTCGGGCGTCTTCGGCTCAATCTCGCTGGCATCGTGGATCTTTCTATTGGTGAGTCGCTGCCCCGATTGCGTCGGCATGGTATAGCTTCGTTGTTGGTGATGCAACTTGGGCCATGGTGAAGCTCTCCTGTGGTCCTTCGTACGCGAAACAAACAACCTGCAACCTGCCACGTGCTATTCATAGAAGCACACGACCATGCCATTAGTCACGTACCTATCAAGTACCTATCAAGTACCCCAACTTCTAACAGCACATCCCCCAGGTACCGCAACTGATTGAAAACTACAAATCCGGCTCTGCAGATGGCATTTCGCTCGCCTTCCTCGTCGTCTGGTTCGTAGGCGACATCACCAACCTCGCGGGCGCCATCTGGGCCGACCTGGTACCCACCGTAACCGCCCTCGCAATCTACTTTTGCTTCGCCGACCTGGTCCTGATCTCGCAATGCGTATACTACAACATGCGCAACGCGCGCCGCGGCGGCGAGCGCAAGGCCTCGACGCGCTCCACCGAAAGCGTGGAGGCGCCCCTCCTCGGCCGTCGCGATAGCAGCAACATTGGGCTGCCCGGCAGTCACAGGCGCGACTCGGCTGCAAGCCGCAGGCGCAGGGCGAGCTCGCTGCCCACCATCCCTGATGCTGGCGACGGCGCGAGCGAGTGGGTGAAGAACAGCCTGAGCATCATTGGAGTTTGCGCTGTCGGTGCTGCGGGTTGGGCGATTGCGTGGAAGACGGGCGTTTGGGTACCCCAGCCCACGCATGAAGATACTGGTGAAAGCTCTGAT